TAGCAATAATATAACCTGATGGCAGTTGTGTGTGTTTTCATTGTAGCATGGCTTCCAGTGCACAACTTGTAGCATCGCGAGTTGTTGTTGTGTGTTTGTCAGACCACGRCCTCGGCTCACGTGTGGGCATGTTGGTACGTCTTTTTATGTACTCAACTTCTATGCATACGAAGACACTATCCCTGTGATGGTGAAAACAGATAGTTGTTGTTATGTTTATGTGGCCCTGCATCCTCTCACTCTCATTATATGTATAAACAAAATAGGAAAGACAGACAAACAGGTGTCTGTATGTCTGTGCGTACGTATGCATCTATGTGTGTCCATTTTGTGTGTCTGTGTGTCTGCTTGTGTGTGCATGTGTATGTCCCTGTGACGCTCTGTGTGTTCGGTGATTTGTTTCTCTGTCTACGTGAGTGTGTGCGTCTCTCTGTATGTGTCTGTCTGTCTATGTGTGTCTCTGTGTGTGTGTGCGACAGTTGATGTCAACCGCCCTCTGTCCCGGTGTATCTATGTCTGTCTGCGCGAGGTTGACTACTGCGGGCCATGTAAGTGTACACCGTTGCTGTTTGATGTCGATGTGGCCCGCAGTAGTCAACCTGATGCTGTTCACCGGTAACAATGCCATCCAACTGCAAAACATGTGGCATCCAACTATCGGTCTGTCTATCTGTCTGTCTGTCTCTCTGTCAGTCTGTCAGTCTGTTTGTCTGTCTGTCGGTCTGTCTGTCTGTCTGTCTGTCTGTCTGTCTGTCTGTCTCTCTGTCAGTCTGTCGGTCTGTTTGTCTGTCTGTCNGTCTGTCTGTCTGTCTGTCTGTCTGTCTGTCTGTCTGTCTCTCTGTCAGTCTGTCGGTCTGTTTGTCTGTCTGTCGGTCTGTCTGTCTGTCTGTCAGTCTGTCTGTCTGTCTCTCTTTCTTTCTTTCTTTCTTTCTTTCTTTCTTTCTTTCTTTCTTTCTTTCTTTCTTTCTTTCTGTCTCTCTGTCTGCTGGTCTGTCAGTCTGTCTGTCTATCTGTCTGTCCGTGGGACTGTCTGTCTGTCTCTCTTTCTGTCTGTCTGTCAATCTGTCTATCTGTCTGTCTGTCTGTCTGTCTGACTACTGCAGTCTGTCTGTCTGTCTCTCTGTCTGTCTCTCTGCCTCTCTGTTTGTCTGTCTGCTGGTCTGTCTTTCTTTCTTTCTTTCTTTCTGTCCGTCTGTCTGTCTGTCTGTCTGTCTGTCCTACTACTGCAGTCTGTCTGTCTGTCTGTCTGTCTGTCTGTCGGTCGGTCTGTCTGTCTGTCTGTCAGTCTGTCTTTCTTTCTTTCTTTCTTTCTTTCTTTCTTTCTTTCTTTCTGTCTGTCTGTCTGTCTGCTGGTCTGTCAGTCTGTCTGTCTATCTGTTTGTCTGTGTGTCTGTTTGTATGTCTGTCTGTCTGTTTGTCTGTCTGTCGGTCTGTCTGTCTGTCTGTCTGTCTCTCTGTCTTTCTTTCTTTCTTTCTTTCTTTCCTTCTTTCTTTCTTTCTTTTTGTCCGTTTGTCTGTCTGTCTATCTGTCTGACTACTGCAGTCTGTCTGTCTGTCTGTCTGTCTGTCAGTCAGTTCGTTTGTCTGCCTGTCAGTATGTCTGTATGTTTGTATGTCTGTCTGTAGGTCGGTCTGTCTCTCTGTAGGTCTGTCTCGATGTGTGTCCCTGTGTTAGACTGTCGGTCTTTCTGACTGTTGAACAAACAGTCTGTCTGTCTGTATGTATGGATGACGTGCTCACACACACACACACACACACACACACACACACACACACACACACGTTGTTGGACGCAGCCCTGAAGTTGGCTACTGCGTGCCATTATCTGCCAAACGATAACCCTTGCAACACTGAATGGCCCGCAGTTGCCAACCTTGCAATAGAGGCCGAGACACACACACACACACACACACACACACACACACACACACACACACACACACAGACATGTCGATGACGTTTTTGTGCGTTTCCGCTGGCTGAGAGAAGAGGTCGAAAGACAAAGCATTTGCATCATGTCGATGTCGGTAGCACAGGTGGCGAAGGCTCTCGCAGAGGTGATGAAGTTTGCAGAGGAGCGATTCCACTACAACGGCCGTGGCGAGTTGTCTTTGGTGGAGGAGAGGGTGTCGCGGTACTTTGCTGTTACCGTGGATATGAGATCCACGATCATGGCCAACGGCAGTGGTTACGTACAGGCACGAACACTCTTGGAACGATTGAGAGAGTCACCTGATATTCGTGTGGACAGCGACGCGGAAGACAACCCATACAGTCTAAAAGGAGTGGTGCAGTGGATGTGCAGCGAAGGCATGCGCGACGAAGGACTTGTCGACATGTCAATGCAGCAGAGAGGGGGGACCTATACACCTGTGGCTTTCAAGAAGTTCATGGTGAGTGTGGCGAAGGGATGGGACATGCTTGTTGAAGGGACGAAGGAGGAGTTGAAGAGGGGTGCTGCAGAAATACTAGTGCTGTCCAGAATCAAGGACATGACACAAACACCGCCCCAGGACTTTCAAGAGCTTCCCATTATTGTTGCAGACGGTGTGGAATACGTTCTGCTTGACCAGCTAGGTGATCTCATGGGGAGGTCAGAGGACGACAGGAACGTCATTCATGAGATGTTGCACGAAGTCACAGAGTATGTCGTGGAGGGTCGAGATGTCATTGAGTTTGAGCCCGCGTCGGCAGGAGAGGAGATCATTAGTGGCAGACCATTGTGGGGGGGCTTGTTGGGTTGTGCTCTGGAGCGGCTTGGTCTTGCAACCTGCGATGTCGAGAGACGGAGAGAAAGGGAAGAGGGTTGGAGGATGATTGCCAGCGAAACAAGGTTACCGATCATTGAAGAAACCTGGGAGACATCAGCAGCACAAGATACGAGCGGGGCGATGGTGGTTGACGTGTCTACCTTGCACACACCATCGACAGAGGAGTTGGTGTATATGGACACTTGTGAGCGTTTCTTCTTCGGGGAGTAGCAGGAGGACGAGCACACAGACGATGCACAGCACAGAGTCGATGCAGAGGAAGAGGATAAGGAAGAGTGCGAGGGGTCTGACGTGGATGTGAGCGGTAGCGACGTCAGCCGCGACGAAGCGGACGACGAAAATGACGTGTACTACGATCTCAAGACAGCGGGTGGACAAGTAACCAAAGGTTGGGCAGATGCAATCCTGAGGTTGGCACGAGTATTTCCCGATCCGCACAACGTGTTGCGTGTGGTGTTCAAGGGGGCGACACCTGATGGTGCCATGCAGTATGCTGCAGTAACCACCATAATGCGATCCTGCAAGAAGGGGAAAAAATGGTCACGTATCGGCAAGGCATGGTTTGTTCTGGTGAACAGAGAGGCTGTGCTAGCAACATCGCTGACATGGGGACTGAACCTGAGTTGCCTCTTACATGGCGCAGTGGCCACAGCTTGGGGAGAGACATTGCACCCCGGCTTGTCGACAGGGGACGCAGTAGTTAGTGCTCGGCCACGGCACCACACACATACACACCCACACAGCACGACAGACCACGTCAGACATCAGGGATGATGCGACACATGCATAGCACATGGCATCACAGTTGTTGTACAAACAACCTGTGTATGTGTGTGTACACATGGATTGCTCAACCTGTACATCCCTCAGCTTGTACATCCCTCTCCCCCCCCCTCAGTTTGACCGACCCTGCGGTTGACTACTGTGTACCATATTCGTGTTCACCGGTGTTCTTTGTCGGAGACTACTGCGGGATTAGTCTCTCTCTCTCTCTCTCTCTCTCTCTCTCCCTCCCTCTTTCTCTCTCTCTCTCTCTGTCTCTCTCTCGCTCTTTGTAGGTTTAGTTGAACCTGTATCTCCCCCACAGGTTTACGACAGCGTGCAGACACTGCATATTTCTTTCTTTCATGCAGTTCATTATTGTTACGATGTTTTTGATTCTATGTTGCTTGCTGGGGCACTTCAGACTCATCAGACCGCCCCCCCATTATAACCTGATGCGTGTTTCGTGTGTGATCTTGCACCTTTTTTTTTTTTTTTTT